AACATCAGAAGATATAGCAATAAAGTTCAGATGCAAACAACAGATGCAAAAACATGAGAATGAAAAAAATCTAAGAGTGTTTGGACAAAAGCATCTTCAATAGATCTGTAATCTCAGAGGATGATTGCTCTTGCTTGGACATCCACTTAGTCATAGTTTCATTCTTCTCATCTTGCTTTGACATCCATTCTGTCATATCCTCAGACTTCTTATCCTGCTTAGCCATCCAGGATTTTATCTCTGACTGTCCAGCCTCTAGAGCAGCAATCTTGTCTTCAAAGTCTAGATGTTCTGTCTTTATCTCAGATGAAGAATTTGGAGGTTCTGTAGCCTGAACAGAGTCAATTGCCATTGGTTCTGTAGATCCTGAAGAGGGTTCTACCAGAGTCATAGTCAATGCATTAGCAGTAGATTCTGTTGATGGTGGAGGAGCATCTAAACGAAGCAGAGGTTCAGTTTTGTTGACAGTCCAGAATAGAGTCCTTTCAGCTCTGAGCTTTGCATCATCAGAACAGACGTTCTTCAGATTTGAAGCTACAGTGTTGAATCTATTGATGAATCCTTTCCAGATGATGTCAGATTCATTGGCATCCATTGTTTTAGAGCATTTCTTCTGAACAGTACCTAAAGACATCTGTATTTCTTGCAAAAAAGTTTGAAATAAATGATCAATATTAAGTCTGGGTTGTGGTTTAAGCAACGTTTCCAGAGTTATATGTTTAGGTTTAGGAGTTGGTGGAAAAAGTGATTTTTGGATGGAAATCAGAGGAGGAGGATAGAATGGAAAGAAAGGAATTTCTGGTTTTTGAGGTAGGGATCTGTTTAATGCATTAAGCAAATGAGGTTTTGGTCTTGTGCGAGGGTAAACATCATCAAAAGGTTCATTTGAGTATGGTTTGAAAACAGATTTTGGTGGTTCAGCAGATGCAACTATGTTATCAGATGCAAGTTGCAGAGCTGAAACAACAACTTTACCAGATGTTGCAGATATGGTTGCTAAAGAGCCTACATTGGACATTGATTGAATATATGATAGAATCACAGATGGAAGAGCCTGTCTGAGTTTTGGTTTCAGAGGGTAAAGGGTTCAGAAGGTTCAACTCTATCATAAAAATCTTTCAGTTTGAAACCATAAGATAGATTATGAAAAAGAGAAAAACTTGGGCACAAGATATACCAGATGATGTTGGATTGGAATTGGGGATTAATAACTCAGATGATGGTGCAGGTGGAGGCATAGGATCTGGAATGGGAGTTTTAGAAGGTATGGTAGTTTCAGGTTCAGGTTCAGGTTCAGATTGATTTACCTCAGAGTATTTGGCAGATGGAGAGATTAGAAAATCTGGGTGGATTTTTGATTCTGATGAGTTGGAGGATGTTGTAGGTGTACAAGAGGTAGAAGATACTTGAAACACTGTTTTTAAAGGTGTGACATCAAGAACTTCTGTCTCAGGGATGTGAGGTTCAGAAGTGTTGGTAGGTGCTGAAGGGATGTCAGATTGTTTGGATGGTAGTTCTGATGAAACAGGAGCAGAAGTTACTTTTGTAGGTTCAGAAGTAACAGGTGCAATGGGTTCAGAAGATGGATTATTTGATGGTGGATTGTCAGAGGCTTTTTCTGGTTGAACTTTTTTTGGTTGGTTTTCTGGATGTTCAGAGGTTTGTTGTTGATCAGATTTTTGTTTTTCAGATGGTTGTTGTTCTGAAGGTTGATGATCTGATGGTTGTTGTTCTGATGGTTGTGGACGTGGAACAAAGTGTTTGATATGTATTTTGGGTTGAGATGGTTTTGATACAGGAATAGTTGTTTGTTTTTGAGGTGAAACAGAACTGGGGGCAGTAACAGAAGTGGTTTGAGTAACAAGTGGTTTTGGAACAGACTTAACATTTGAATCATTAATAACAAGATTTGCAGAAGTTTCAGATGATTTAGTACCTTTTACTTTAATCCTCTTGGCAGGTACAAAGGCATCTTCTTCAGAATCTTTTCTCTTCAAGAGCTTCTTGGGCTTCTCAGCAATCTTGACCTTCTTCTGGACAGGTTCAGATTCTTCTACAGGCTGAGTCCTTTTCCTCTGAAGTGGTACTTCTTCTTCTCCTGCATCTGGTAGTGGTTGTTTAACTAGCTGAAACACATTGGCAGGAACAAGTATTCCTTCCTTCTTGCATTCCTCAATATACATAAGCAGTATATGTCTGGGTTCTTCAGCAAAGAATAGAGGAAAATCATCTACAGGAACCCTCTTATTCAATTCAGACATATTCAGCTTCTTGGGAGCTGTAGTGAGTTCATCAACAATTTTGAGTCTCAGAAGACTTTTAGCATTCAGAGGTTTTCCCATTATAAACTCTAATTCCTCTGTAACTCCAGCAGCGTACAGAGCAGTTACCAAGCCATTTTCAGTAAGAAGATCTGAGAGCAGTCTTCCAAAGGGGATCCAAGGTCTGATCTTCTGTCCTTTCTCTTTCACAGATTCTCTAGATGCATTGATATGATTCCACAGATGCATAAATAGAATGTATGGAAGATCTACCTTGGTGCTCTGACTAAGGCAATACATGAAATAGAGCTGTTCATTATTGACATAGTCTGGAGAATTGGTTGACTTCCTGTGGTGGATGCATCCCATGAAGATCTTGGCCTAGATCTTGTAATTAGGTTTCAGATCTTTGAATTTGTTAGAAGCTTGACCATATCTTCAAGATGAAAAAAACTAGCCCCCATGGCTTGGTACGAATAGTTAATCAAGTTTCGGGTTTCTGAACTTTTCCGTTCCTGATCATATCTTCAAGATGAAAAAAACTCTTTATAGTTTGAAACTAGCCCCCATGGCTTTGTACGAATAGTTAATCAAGTTTCTGCTTGAAAATAAATTTCAAAAAGGGAAGGCTAATACAACTCATTTTATTAAGAAAACAAGAATAACATTTTACTTGTGTAAATTTATGTCGATGACATCATTTTCGATGCTACTAACAAGTCCTTGTGTAAGGCATTTTCATATATGATGCAGAATGAATTTAAAATGTAGATTATGGATAAGCTGTTATACTTTCTTGGATTACAAATTCACCAATCAAAGGAAGGCGCCTTCACCAATTAAGTTAAACACTGGAAAAAGCTACTAAAGATATTCAACATGGATAAAACAAAACCAATTTCATCTCTGATGAGTACATAATGTAGTTTCGATAAGAATGAAGAAGGAAAAAGCGGTTGAAGAAAGAAAATATCGAGGTATATATGATATGCCCCTTGGTTTATCTTACTACATCTCATCATAATATCATGTTTGTTGTTTGTTTGCGTGCACATTTTCAAGAAAACCCCAAAGAATTACACCTCACTCTGGTCAAAAGCATTATGAGGTATCTCACTAACACAACACTTATGGGTTTATGGTACCCCAAAGGGCCATGTTGTACTTTCGTGGGATAAAGAAGAAGTTAAATGGTGTAAATTGTCTATGGACGGAACAACTGCACGAGGTTTTATGGTCCTATCATATAATGCTCCACTCCACCACTATGGAAACACCATTCAAGATGGTTAATGACACAAACACATATTACTAGTTCAGATTGACATGCCCACGTGACATCGTGAATATTCCAATGAAAAAGGTGGGACATGAGCTAAGGCGACCCATATTTTTCCGTATTGAATAACAAAGGTGGGGTGACACTCTTTTCTCTGACAAGGGCATGCGTTTTTAATATGGCGCCATATATTATTAACTTATTGGTGCCATAGGTTTGCTATATGTTGTAAATCTCGCTGAACCTTTATAAATGGATCATTTTTGCCTTATGAAGAAATCATGCTGGACACGTACAAATGAATCATTACCGCCTTAACATGCTATTTTGTTGGACCCTTACAAAGTTATCTTGTCGCCTTATTAGACAATCTTGCTAGACCTATACAAAAGTATCTTTATCGCCTTATCATGCCATCTTTCTGGACGCTTATGAAGGGGTCATTATCGCCTTATCAGACTATCTTGTTGGACCCTTACAAAGAGATCACTGTTGTCTTATTAGGGTATTTTGTTGGACCTTTACAAACAAATCTTTGTTGTCTTATCGAATTATCTTGTTAGACCTTTACATACGAATCCTTGTTGTTTTATCGAGTTATCTTGGAGCAGTATAAAGGGATCTTTGCAGCCTTATTAAACTTTTACGTTGGACACTTACAAGAAGATCCTTGCTGCCTTCTCCGACTATCTTGCTAGACCTTTACGAGAGAACTTTGTCATCTTATTAGTCAATCTAATTGAATCTTGAGAAGGAATCATTGCAGCTTTATTAGGCTATTATATTTGACCTTGATGAGAAACACACCTTTAAACTATGCCCTAGTACTATAAATAATAGAAGATCCATAACACTAAGAATTTTATGACTTTGATAAATATAATTAACTATAATATTATGTATTTTTACTACATTCTTATATTTTAAGATCTCGCTAATCATCTGAACGTCACAATTGAATAGAATCTCATAATTGGATAGGATCTTTCAATTTTAACTAGAATTTTATTATATTATTCTCCCCCGACTAATCCTGACTATCTTTCTAAAGACAACTAATCAAATCTTTATTTTTGGCCGAGGTTGAAACATCCTTGTCTCATCATGTTATTTAAGCTTATATGTCTTCTAAAGAGAGAATATTATCAATGATGAACAATAAAATATTGATTGTAAATAAATAATTTTGATAAGTATTTGATATGAACCGAACTGAAGCATATATTTTTTATGAGCAAAACTTGTTATTAATAAGAAGAAGTATTAAGAGAACTCAACCCTTACAAGATAGATGATAATACAATGAAAAAAACCAACTAAGATTAGTAAGACAATATATCGTGTTAAGGCACCAATATGTCAAGAACAAGTTGAAGACACACAGAGTACACGTGTTGGTTATTCCACATTCACACAAAAACAGATTAGGCGCGCACCCAACTCTACTTTTCACATCAACAATGGCGTACCCTCTCTCTTCCACCTTCAACATTCCCATAATTCGTCTCCCTTTCTTCCATCGCACCACAATAGCGCCTTCTCGAATTTTCTGCTTCTCAAAGAACCACAACCTCCCAAAGGACCAACCCGATGACACTTCAGCGACTATAAGTGTGAGGTTAATGAAGCAATTCAAGAGTGTGGTTCCTATCTTAATTGCCTCCACCATTCAGTCGAGTTTTCTGTTTCCGTTGCTCGATTCGGTTCCTTATGTGTCTTCTCCTGCTGCCAAGGCTATTCTGTATTCGCCAGATACCAAGGTTCCCAGAACTGGAGAAGTTGCTCTTAGGAGAGCCATTCCTGCAAATTCTAACATGAAGGCTATACAGGTTACCATCGGAAATACCTCTGAAAAAAGGCCGACACCAACACTTCTCATTATACTTAATTATTCATTTTTTTCAAAACTATTATTGGTGTCTTGGTGATTCATAGCTTATCTCTCTATTCCCTTTTCTATCGTGCTTCATTCTATATATAAGATCCACACTAGTTAACTAACTAACAAACTGTATTACAACTGATACTGATTCAGGAGACTCTTGAAGATATTTCTTATCTCTTGAGGATTCCACAAAGAAAACCTTATGGAACAATGGAGGGGAATGTCAAGAAAGTTTTAAAGGTATTCATAGTCTCTTTTTTGGGTTGTATTTATCATACTTTAATACCTTAGATCCCATGGTTTAAGTATTTTATATGCATTGTATGAAATGATGAAGAGAAATAGAAAATATGTAAACCATATGATTCGTGTTCAATTTATATTAAAAAATTAATACTCCATGTTATGAAACATGCCGTCCATGGAAAAATGGAAAAAGAGAGAAATCATAAAACTCTTGTATTGATGATATACAATGTGAGAAAGTTAAAAGTAAAAGATTACATCAAAGCCTATTTATTGGCATCCACTAACTACTAATAAGTATTCCTAATTATCAACTAACTATATCTTAATACTCGAGTTCACGGAAAATTTTCCAGCACTTTTGTAGTAAGACCTTCATGGTGGTAGAGAGGTAAAAGGAAAGTAAGATCCATGGAACAGAGATGCAAACTTTATGATGGGTCAGGCAATCCACAAGACAAAATAGAAGAATGAAAGTATTAGAGACAAAGTTGGGCTAACACCTATTGTATTGTTTTTTTTATACGTGTATACTAGATGCAAAATCACTGATTATTAGGTGTTATTTCCTTTCTAAAGTTTGACGGATCTGTTATTTAATTTAATTAATGAAAAATAGTTTTAACTTGTTAATCTTTGTACTTGTGCAAACTTGACGATCTTTCAAGCTTCCATTACATCTTTAAAGCCTTGTTGTGTCGTTTTTGTTGACAGAAAGATATGCAAATGCAACTTGAGTAATTTAAAACTTCACCATTTACTTGCAAAGTTATTAATACTTATAAATTTTGTTTGGCGATATCCTTTTTGTTGTGTCATATTGACACAAGGACTTCAAATTTTGACAAGTTCCTTCCTTATTTTAGATAGCGGTAGATGAAAAGGATTCTATATTGGCAAGTATACCAGCAGAACTGAAGGAAAAGGCTTCTTTGTTGCATGCAACTCTAATAGATGGAAAGGTATTTGGAAAATACACCTGGATTATATCATTATTTGTATGTATATCATTCAAGTTCCAACTCTTCTTTCTTACATAAATGACATTCACATTTCAACAAAGTTGCATATGCTTATGATGATTTCAATTGTTTAACTTTGGGGCTATGGCTATACATACATAAGATGATTGTTCTTGTTTTACAATATAGCTAGATTTTTCTATTGGTTATGTTTCTCATATATAGCTGATGTACCATGTGCTTGTAAGTAATTTAAGCTCTATGCCTTTTGCTTGTAAGAATATATGATATTTACAACATTTACGGCTAATAATTACAAATTAAGCGAAGCAAACCAATTCCTGATTTGTCTAACTAAGATGATAAATATAATTACACATCGATATTATTTTCTTATTGAAGCCTCCCTCAAATTGTTGCGGCTCATCAATGAGCTAACTAGAAATGATAGCGTTGGCGCGAAACATTCTTGGTGAAATTAGTTGCAATTTGAAACTGAGTATTGACAGAAAGAAGTGATATAATTTGGTCATCGTAGGTGTCACAACAGGTTGAATGATAATCAACTTCAATATGCTTGGTGTGTTCATGAAAAACCAGAGGTTCCTTTCAAATAGCGAATTATGACGATGAACTGCTGCCAAATGAAAATGACTAGAAGAATGCATGAATTTACTTACTTTTTGAACAACAAAAGACATGTTAGGGAGAGTAATAATCTAGTAGTTAAGGCCATCCACAAGCCGCCAATATAATAAGGGATTAGGCAAAAGATCATTACCATCACGACAATCTTTAACATTAACCTCAAGAGAAGTATCCACCGGAGTAGCCGATTAGAGATCGGCCATAGAAATCAAATTCGAGACAAACTTGTGTAGATGGAGGAAAATGCCCTTGGCCGTAGATTGAACCTCAAGACCAAGAAACTTATGCAGGTTACCATGATCTCTCATATGAAACAAGGCTTGTAAGTGTTGTTTATGTCTCTGAATGAAAGCATTATCAAAACCAATAATAACCATATCGTCAACATATAGAAGAACAAACATGATCAAAACCAATAATAACCATATCATCAACATACAAAAGAGCCAAGATAATTCCCATAGATGTGATATGAATAAATAGATAGGATTTATACAGATGCAGAGTAAAGGAGAGTCCACGTAGAGTGGAGAAAAATTTCTCATAATATGCTCTTGGCGTCTGTATCAGAGCAAATAAGGAGTGGTAGAGCTTGCAGACACCCTCCAATTAGGTCATCATAGAGAATAACATATTTCACATCCATTTTGATGAAGATACTGTCCATTAGAAGCAGCATAGAGAATAACATTCTTCACATCCATTTGATGAAGATACCTCCCATTAGATGCAATTGTAGAGATTACATTGCAAATAACTGTCATTTTGGCAACCAGTGGAAATGTTCCGCCATAATCAATTCCATATTCCTACTTGTTTCCTAAAGTCGAGCCTTGCAACAGATGAGAGATCCATCTGAATTCAATATCACAGAATACATTCGTTTGTAGCCTATAGGTTTGACATCAGGAGGACAAGATATAGTATGCCATGTGAAATTCTTTTGAAGAGTTTGAAGCTTCTCATGTATTGCTTTTATTCAATGCTAATCTTTAACTTCCTATAAGTAACAAGTAGAAGCGGATATGCTAGAGAGTAAGGCAGTCAGAGAAGTATACACGGAATCATACATATCTAATGAATGTCTATCTGGTGATTGATATATTTGACCAAAAAATCGTAGTTCAATCGATACAGGCTGAATTGGTGGTTCAACGCCTGGAAAGAGGGGGTAGAAATGTGATGTCTGCGCTGTCTGACACGTATATTACCTGGTTCATAACGTTCTATAGATTGAGGCATAATAGAAAAAATTGGATAAATAGTAGTATCATTCTTGGAAGGAGAAAGACGAAGAAACATGAATTGATTATAAATACATGTCACATTCCGAAAAATACGGAAGTGATGGTTAGTGATATCATAACATGCAAAACCTTTATAAGAGTGACTATACCCCATGAATGTACATTGAATAGACTCTGCTTCAAGCACACGTCTTTCTAACAGAGGTAGGTGAACAAAACATACACACTCAGAAGTATGTAAATCACTATAATCAGGCTGAGTTTTAAAAGGACGAGAGAAAGAAGAATCTAGATCAATAACTATAAAAGGAAGACGATTGATCAAGAAGACAACTGTAGAATGAACCGCCACCCAAAGTTATAATTGTACATGCTTGAAGAGGTAAGGTGTGCATCTTGTCAAACAAATGACAATTCTTGCATTATGATATTCCATTTTATTGGGGGTATTGGGACTAGATAAAAAAAAGAAAAGAAATCAATAACCGTGGAAGGAAGTCGATTGGTTAAGAAGACACTGGAGAAAGAACCTCCATCCAAAATCAGGATGGTACAAACGCTTGAAGAAGTAAGGTGTGCGTCTTGTCAAACAAATGACAATTCTTATATTCTTCCATCCCATTTTGTTGGGGGTATTGAAGCCATGAAATCACAAATATTAGCAACAAACAGAATCATGAAAAAATTAAATTGAACTTGAACTGAACTGGAACCATAGTTGAATCGAAAAAAGAAATTGAACCAAACAGGCGCAAGAGATGCGACCAATAAAACTCAAGTGAGAGCCATAAGCGATGAATCAAAAAACGGAATGAAAACTGCGCAGCGGAAAAAAAGAGAAGACGAGATGATGCAGGGGACCTCCAACCACAAGATTTACCAACTCAAGAACCATGTGCAGAAGAACACGCAGCAATGCAGAGGGGTGAGCAGAACAAAAGGACACGGTCGCGATGAAGGAACGAGGCTACGGACAAGAAAACGTACACATAGGGCAGGAACGTGCACGTACTAGGAAGAACCTAGTCACATACAAGATGCAAGCCAAAATGAAGCAAAAACTCGAAACCCTGATTTGGGTTCGTCACCAAACTGATAAATATAATTACACATAGATACTATTTCCTAATTGATTGATGCTAGATAAATGATTCAGAGTTTCAGATAAAGAAACTTTAATGTGAACCTTGGCTGTTTGCACTTCTTTTCAGATCATTGGGCTCCTTACTTTTTTTTGGAGGACTAATCATCAACAGTGTTATATAATTCACACATTATGAGAAATTGGTAGTTTTTATCTATTATTGGAGCTGCCAGAATGATATCTGTATTTTACAGGGGGGTTTGCAAGTTCTCCTACAATCTATTAAGGAACAGGATGCGGATAAAGTGTCAGTGAACCTTCAATCTACACTGGATATTGTGGCAGAGCTAGAGACATTACAGGTGATGTAAACCAGATAATATGATGTTATCTTGAAACCAAGAGTAGTTAATTTCATTTTTCCATTAAAATGACTGAATCTATGTAACAATATGACACCGTGTCCATAATCTGAACTTGATATTGTAACAACAGGCACCAGGACTATCTTTTCTCTTGCCGGGGCAGTACATGCAATATCCACGGTTAGTGGCTCCTATTAAAAATTCATGTCAGTTACTATATTGATGTAGTGTATAATGGTTCTTCTTCCGCATTCCGCATCCCCATCTGGTGGCCCTTTAGTTCTTGAACATGCAGCTATCATTTGATATGAGGCAAGCATAAAAAGTGATAATACGTTTAATCATTTTTATTACAATTCTTTTGAAAAAATTGATAAACAGAACATGGAGGGAAAACCAATATTTTCCTAATTCTTTTGTAGGCTTTCAGGGAGAGGAACTGTTGAGTTCATAGTTGAGAAAGGAGATGGATCAACATTTTCTCCCGTTGGCGGAGAAGAGAGAAAAACTGCCACCATTCAGGTAAAACTCACTCCATAAGTTGTTCTTTTTGATTAGCTGCTGGCTGTTGATTTGATTGGCCAAGTCTCTTAAATCATCCATTAACATTAAGAAAAGGTCAACATTGAAGAACACTACCTCCGTTCCAAAATAAGGGAAGGAGAGGATCCAAATGTCTTTAAGGTTTTTTCAGTTAGATGAACAAGTGTTTACGTTTTACAATAAATGAATTAATAAGTTTTTCAATTTTACAAAATTGTTCTAATTACATATTGGCTATTAACGGTTGTCATTAATGCATTGTGCGTTATAATGAATTGAAAGTGATGAACACAATATTTAGTTCGGAGTAAAATAGAAATAAATTTATTAATGTTTTATTGAAAAAAATAAAACAATGCTTATTTTGGAAAATCTTCCTTTGCTAAATGACATTTATTTTGGGATAAGGGGAGTATAGCATAACTTCAAATATGTAGTTCGCTGAATGGTGTGTTGATAATTTACTTTTCGTAGATAGTATATTGAAACTAATTGACGGTTAATTTCTTCTCAGGTAGTTATAGATGGATATTCGGCTCCATTAACTGCAGGGAATTTTGCAAAACTGGTAAGGTAGTGGAACAGTACTTCAGCCTCTTGAACTTAGTATGACAATTCCTTGCCAATATCCTGTGTATACTACTCGTCGTTTTCCTCGCTTGGCATGGTTTATCTATGCTGTCAGATTTCCAAGTTCACTGAGCGAACTAAATCACTGATGTGCGTTTCTGGTTTATTATCCATGGCTAATGTCTCAATTCATTACCGTCTTCTTGTTATCTTGAATTTTTCATGTATCATTGTGGGTATATCCGTCAATTTTTGTTATCCTTATGAAAAATACTTATTTGGCTTTTGTTTGATGATTAAAATAGAGAAGAAAGAATGACTTCCACATTCTTGAAATTGTGTTAAGTATCTAGTGTATGCGGTGCAGCATATCAACTATTAACTGGAATACATGGATTGCCATGTTGAGACTTAATATTCATAACACCGTCCAAAGTTGATTATAATGAGGAAGAGCCAACTTCTAAAACAAACCTTGGAAATATAAGGAAGTAGGGTTTTCAGCTGTGGAGAATTGGGAATGACAATATGTTGCAAACTGGAACATTCTGTTTTTTCTGTCAAAAATATATGGTATAATGTGGTATTGTTCATGTTTTTAAGTATTGTTTTAATCATCTAGATAGTTTGATTTTACATACCTCCCACTTATTAACATATTTTCAAGCCATATCTATCTAATGTGGTCTCTCACCACACTCAGTTGCATATCCTATAGGTGATGGATGGAACATATAATGGCATAAAGCTCAACTGTTCCAATCAAGCTATACTCTCGGAAAATGGACTAGATAAGAGCAGTGGTTACAGTGTTCCCTTGGAAATAATGCCAGCCGGACAATTTGAGCCCCTATATAAAACACCATTAAGTGTACAGGTATGTTTTTGTTTTATTTCATCGCATTTTTTTTCAGCAGACTTTACTGACATTTATAGTCATGTTCTCATTTATTTTCTCGTGCATGTGTCTTTTGGAAGGACGGAGAACTGCCAGTTCTGCCTTTATCTGTTTATGGAGCAGTTGCTATGGCTCATAACGAAGCCTCTGAGGAGTATTCATCACCTTATCAGTTTTTCTTCTATCTCTATGATAAACGAAATGTAAGTGCAATCCACCGCTTTCCCTGCTACAAGCATTATATTTATTTTCTTAAGCATTTGTTATATAAAATAATAGTGAAAGGTGGAAGCTATTTAATGAGTGGATGCAGTATCTTCTACAAAACTAGAATGTGTCCTTTTTTTGTTTGTTTTCTTTTTCATATTTGTTAGAGCCTAGTTAGTAATCTTTTTAATCTTATCCTCTGTTGTAGGCTGGCTTGGGAGGGATATCATTTGAAGAAGGGCAATTTTCAGTTTTTGGGTAAGTCGTGTTAGCAGCATTGTATAATCTTCTAAGTATTCAAATTTGGAATTTAACTTTTTTCTCTTTTATGTTTTTGTTGTTTATTTTCTGGTACCATGCACTATGCAGATATACCACCATTGGTAGAGATATTCTCCCCCAGATAAAAACTGGTGATATCATTCGTTCGGCAAAGCTGATTGAAGGCCAAGACCGCCTTGTGTTGCCAAAGGAAAGTTGAGTAGGCCACTTGGTCTTCCGGTATTATCTGAACAGGTAAAACCATTTCATTCTTTGTAATATGTATGCTGTTTGGTATCAGCCTGATTTTCCAGATGCAGGCTGTGTTGTAAATTATAATTATTATTATATCATGATTCAAGATTTAAATTACACTGTTTCATTGTGGAAAATAGATTTCTTGAAGACAAGTTATATTTATACTTTATACCCTTACTAAATTATCTTCGGTAAGAAAATACAAGTGCATTTCTTCCCATTCCGTATCAATCAATATTCAAATCAGATTAGTCAAGATTTTAACTTTACAATTTTTATACCTCCTGTAATATTTTATAAGTTTTTTGACTGGAAGATATAAAAAAGTTTAATCAGATTTAAACTTAATATTTAATTATTGTATAGTTCTATCAAGATTCAAGTCATTCTACAGGAGGTGTCTTTGATTACATGGATCAACGGATACCCGCCCATATTACTCTAAGTTTGATTATTCACCACAAGGTTCATTAATAAGAAAAAACAGATAGTGAATTGAACCTCACTATAGAACCAGATTGAACTAAAGCTTAAAGAGTATGATTAGTCAAATACGGGATTGAATTGCTCTGTAAGTACAATTTTGATGATAAAATGATGCAGAGATATTTAATAGGTTGAGGTGCTGGTTCGATCCCGCAATTTTCCATTTTTCAACAATGCTAGCCATTTAACGTGGTAAAAATGAAAAGTATCATATGATGTTTGAAGTTGTAGTGAAACATAGTCAAGGATTTAAGCCACGTCCTAACATGACATTTAAGCCACATCCTACCATGACATTAGAGGCTTCCATGGATTTAATTTAAAATATACATACATCAATATACTCCTAAGCCACCACAATGCTTTCGGATTCTAGAGATGTATTTTCTGACGCACGCCAAACACACATTTTAGACCAATTCTGAGTCACGTCTTAGGAGTGTGACTTTTTTAGATCCGGAGATGCATGTCTATAATCTGTCTGTAGATACATCACTATAACATACTGAAACAAAAGCAGAAAGTCAGAAAGTTGTATTTTGACAAAATAAAATTATCATTCATAACAAAAAATCAGCATTACATAAGCGGTGTTAACATAAAATTAAACAATACATTTTAATATCCAAGTGGACACTTCAACATCTTCGCAATATCTTCAACTGATTTTGAAATCGTCATTTCCACCTCAATCGAAACTTTTGCTTCGAAACGGAAAAATGTATTCCACATAGCCCTTAAATCTGCATTTGTCTTTAGCTCATAGTTGTTGAACTCAATCTTGCCATCGCTGTTAATTGACGGTGAACGGTACTCGATCTTCACAAATTTTCATTGTCTTCGTAAGATAGAAGATTCTGCACTTCGTATTGCATTGACGGTGAACGGTACTCGATCTTCACAAATTTTCATTGTCTTCGTAAGATAAAAGATTCTGCACTTCGTATTGCAGATCTGCAAAATAAGGGTAATCATTGATCTTGAATTCTCGCCCGAATGTCGCGATGCAAAAGGAGACATTTGCAACATACAAGATGATGTTCATTTGCGACCCAATATTTTTTGTTTGTATGAGACATGATACAAGAGCATATATTTATAGTAGTTGTAGATAAATATGGACCTAAAAAATTATATCTTGTATCAATGGAAGTTTCATAGATGCATCTCCAGTACCACCCTATTCTCTTATTCCAAAGATGCATCTTCGGAATATTCACTAGGCTGCTTAAATATCAATATATTTGTTTAAAATACCCGGAGATGCATCTCTATAATAAAATTCTGTTTTACTCTGAAGTGACACTCATTTGGTGTGTCATAAGGTGATGTAAGGGTGCATCCAGAGATGCATCTCTGGAATTTGATGGACATTTTGGATTTTTCATAGGGTGCTTTTCGCCCTATAGGGTGGGATAAGAAATTCCCTAAAGGTTATTATATTGGGCTTTGAACAATTATATAAAGATGAATTGGAGATAACATCTTAAATCAAAATCTTAAGGCATTACGTATATGAGTAATTTCATTTATAAAATGTTCAACATCCATTTTCCCACGCAACGTGAGATCCATGCTTACACTTGATGAGTCCATCCATTCTTATGGGTTTACTCATCCTCAAATGGATTATTTTCATTCATATTTACTTGCACAACCGTTACTTGCCTTCAATGGAACACGTCACATGAACATCTTAATTATGAAGACTTTTGATACAAGGAGTCCTAGTCGAACCAGTCTCCGATACCACTGTAAGGTTATGAGGCGGTCGAGGATCTTCACATTGAACTTTGAACAATCACATAAAATGAAAGGTGTTGTTTACTACACCCCATGTAGTGATGAAACACCTTATAGAAACCCTAAAATGTCCTTAGTATCGTCCAAATTTCAAAATTCGAACGCGTCTATTATACACCAAACCACTTCATTAGAGTGACATCCCATTTTTGTAAAAAAAAAAGGCTTGAATTCAAATCTCCGGATTAACTTTGCCTGCATATTTTTTTGTGTGTTTCATTACAACGGGAAAAACACAATTTTTAATTTCAATCTTTGGACTAATCCCATGACAATATTTTACACCCTTAGACAGTAAGTTGGGAGGATTTTGTCATTTTTTTTAATAAATCTTACATTATGAGCCATTTATAGATCAATCTCACAATAAATCATACGTTGAATAATAAGATCTAATTAGAAGAACTATTGCGTATATCCGAATGCCAAAATGTCAAATTCAAAATGTTAAAATGTAATAATAAATCCCACAACAAACCTTAATACAAAATGTAAATATCAAAATATACAAAATAAAATACAACTGATGTGTATATTTGATGAGCTTACCTCGTGGAATCTTCTTTAAGATCACCTGATGAGCTTACCTCGTGGAATCTCTTTCTTCATATGGTGTAATGTAAGGATGCAAAACTTTATAAAACCATTGGAGTATCCGTATATTATACTCATTGGATGAGGAGTTGACACACGACGTATATCCTCTAGGACTAGATGATCATAATACGTTGCAAAAATCTCATCCACATCCATGTGGAGGACAGTGGCAGGAGCAACCGTGATGAGGTCTTTGAGTATACCCTGAATATACCCAAATGGTCATAGAACTCACTCAGGTAGATAAGATATATAAGTTGAGACCCATATGATAACTGTTGCGGTGAGAATAAGATATAAATTATTAATTAATTTGAATAGCAAATCTTTAATTCACAACCGGTCTTTGATTTATCCGAAGGAAAGGTCAATGAAAGGAAAAAACTACTTTTTGCATTGTAAACAATGCAGAAAGAGATCTAGGTAAGGGGTTGGTTAAGCCTAGGAAAGGTATTAGCACCCTAAACTTCTGTAGTACTCTACAGGAACCTCTTGTTTAAAGTTTACTATTTTGCTTGATTATCTGCTTTAGGGTATATGCTAAGGGTTAAAGGTGAAAGAGAGACCTAAGGGTTAGTCCTAAGTTTACTCGCCAAGATTCACATCTTGTGCCTACGTATTCGAGGTAGGAGATGAAATTAGAGTAATCATAGTTTCCCTCGAAAGGGAGGTTAGAAACTTTTTGACTGAGGTCAAGGTTTCAATGGGGAATACGTGTTCTTAAGGAAGCGCTTACATGGAGTGCGGCGACTCCAATCTCTACGTTGTAAAGAGTTGAATTAAAAAGGGTAAAACTAGGTATTCCACGGCGGGAAACCTAAAACGGAGCGCGGAGACTCCTTAACCTAATGCTAGGGTAAAGGGTAATTCAGTCCGCGGCGGGGACGCATATGCAATTAGGGCTTGAGGGTGAAAAAGTCAAAGGTAAAGGACTATTGACGCGACGATCAAACGGCTAGACCTATTCCTTCGGAAGGGATTTAACGGTAAATAAAATAATGAAAATGCGATTAAGCGGCAGTATGAAAATACGGGAAAGGTACGAAAACCGTAAAGGAATTGCACAACGACGATATTCTCACATAAATTACAACCCAAAGAAAATAAAATGCGGAAAGTAAGGGAATTGCAAAGCGACAATATCCTCGTGTAAATTACAACCATAAAATTACAACCATAAAATGAAATGTGAAATTGAAAGCGCAACGTTAGACGATTTTAGGAAAGGGATTTAAACTAAATGAGGAATTTACAAAAAAAGAGTTTGAATTTAAAATGTTAATTTTTAATTTTGCCTAATTTTAATGGATTAATAAAAATCTTATTTTTTCAAAAAAGGTTTTTTCAATTGAGGAATGTTGAATTTTAAAGAAATGTTCTAATCAACTTTTAAAAAAAGGTTTCTAATTAACTTTAAGAAAAGGTTTTTAAAAAAGGGTTTTAATTTTAACAAAGGGTTTTGATTTTTTTTTTTTTTATAAAAAAACAAAGGCTTTCATCTTCAAAAAATGAGTTTTAGTTTAAGAAAGATTTTAATTTAAAAAAAAAGTTTTAACTTAAGAAAGGTTTTAATTTAACCTAATTAAACTAAATTGTAAAATAAAAATAATAAAAAAGGTTTTATCAACATAATTAAATCAAAATATAAAGTTAAAATAAAAATGAATGAATGGTTTTAATTAATCTAATTTTCTTAAACTATAAAAATATAAAATAATACTAATAATAATAATAAAACAATAAAATTTTGGAAAAGTTGTTTCTGCTGGCTATGACCCCATTTGGTTGTAAGGATTTTGGGAAAGTTGTTTCTGAATTTGGATATCCATTTTTCCTTGATGGACCTGGATATCCACTTTGGTTCTATGGATTTTGGATGTCTTAAGTCTTGTTTGGCTACAACCAAGAAAAATCACTTTTCCCACATAAACAATTTTCCAAAAAGCACTTTTTCTCTCTCTTGAAAACAAACTGGACAAATTATTGCCGGGTCCGAAAAAGTCGAAAATAATTAGAAATTAATTTGGAATTGTAATTGTCTTTGCACATTGTAATAAAAAAACATAGAATTTAAAT